GGGAAATTGGTATCAATAGTTATAAAAAAATTTATAATTGTCAATCTAACAAAATAAATTAACCCTGAAAATAAATAATTAAAAAAAAATAAAGAAAAACGAGGAAAAGATAAAAATGGATTAAAGTATTATCTCTTCTTCTCCTTCCACCACATCCTCCCCTGAAAACCCTAGCCACCACAATCGCCGCCTTCTCTACCTCCATCGTTCGTTCTCCTTCGCCTTTGATCATCAGGTTCGATTCTCCGCCTTCTTATAAAATTTGGTGAAGCTTTAGTTAGTTTAAGTTGAATCTTTAACACAGTTGTGGAATGTGATTTTTACTACATGTTTAGGGTGTGGAATGGTTGAATTTATAAGTTGGATCCTATTGCTTGAGATCAAACTTTGCTGTCTAAAGGATTCTAATGTCTCCAAATGCTAGTAGCGTTCAGGTTCTCAAGCTTCAATTTTATATTTGAAAATGATTCACACTAGATATTTGCTTTGTATGAAGTATTGTAGTTTTTTGGTTGGCATGACAACATAATTCTTGTAAAGTTGGTTTGATTTTCTGTTCTCTATTTTGTATCTTTCTTGATATTTTATTTTTCGTTAATGCAGGTTTCGTTTCTGCTCGGAGTACTCGCTGTCTTCATAGCATGGATATACTCAGAGTTACTTGAGTACAGGAGGTCTTCACTGCACTCTAAAGTGTATGTATTGCGAATATCTTGTTATGCGTCCGGCTATCTTGTTATGCGTCCAACTTTTCAGTAGCTTATATCTGCTTTGTCTCACTGTTTGCTAGCTTACACTCATGTTTGTTTGGTTATTTTTGGTAAATGAATATGGTGTAAGCTTTGTGTTTTAGGTCAGCTACTGGGACGGATACCAATTCAATATGGAGAAATCTTCATCATCATCTGATCCGGTCGAAAATGTTGACTGGATCAGCAAACTCCCCGATGATGTATTGCTCATGATCTTATTGAGACTGTCCACAGAAGAAGCGATAAGGACGGGCCTTGTGTCCAAACGATGGGAACATGTGTGGAAACACATGTCTCATCTAGTCTTGGACATGCGAAAGAAGATTACCCGTTCCAACAATACGCTCCATGTTTCGAATCAAGTCGCTACATTGATCACCAAGGTTCCCTTTTCTCAAT